AGGCGTGCCATCCCATTTTTTTCAATTTTTCAATCTGTCAACTAAATACTGTGTCAAGGGGCATGAAACATAAGACTTCCACATGCTCCTATTCAGCAACATGTAATGGAATTGAACTATTTGTGTTCTTATTATTTTCATTATGATTGTAATAATGTCATGGCTGAATAAATAAATAAATAAATAAATAAATAAAAACATGACACATCAACAACACAGGAGGAGAGGTGAAGGCAGACTGGCGCGGAACAAGTCCAGCTGCCCCGAGCTGCTGGAGACTGGCAGGTTCTTTGGCGGACGTCCTCGCACTTCTCCTGCTGCAGCCACTCAGGTGACAGACCGGCCACGCCCACTCCCGAAGCTCCTCCAGTAGATCACCTCTACAGAGCGAGGTGGCGCACACAAACACAAAGGGCAACGGGAGCCAACCTATGTCATGGCTTAGGTTTATTTCTTGTTTTATTTTGTAGTTTGTTTAATCCCTGTGTCTTCTTTAGTTGTCTTTCCTGTCTGATTACCTGCCCCGCCCTCATGTGTATTACCTGTGTCTCGTTAGTATTGTATTTAGCCCTGTGTGTTCCTTCACTTCCTGTTCTGTCATTGCCATTTCCCGTCTGTTCCTGTTTCTGTCCTCGTTCCATGTGTTTTTGCTGGATCTTGATTTTGTTTTACTTGTATTAAATCCATAATTTTTCAGTTTTGCATTTTGGGCCTCCTTTTTTTCACTCAAGGTAACACTGTATAATCACTATTATGTACTATAATAAACCGAATAATGAAAAAATTATATTGGGAAATAGTCAGACACACACACACACACACACACGCACACACACACACTCAGATTATCGTCTAAACAGGTCAAGGGTAATTACATTGTTTTCCAACTGTTTGTCTGATATAGATGAAAGAAAAAGTCTTAACAACTTTAAAGAGCAGATGAACAAAAGTGCAGATAGTCTGAGGAGTGGGAGCTCTGGGAGTTCCAGGTTTTGCCTTTTCAACTGTGGCCTTTTAAGTGGAAGAAGACGGATGGCTGTTTTAATCTGAAGGAAAAATTTAAAGCTGTTGATGTGATGTGCAAAGCTAATATCTTTTTTACTTTTGTGAGTGTCTTTGTTATGGTGAAATAAGTCCCCAGGGTTCAGACCAGCGTTTAACGGACGAGACACTCATATTTTTATACAAAAGTATGAAAAACACTTATTTTAAGCATAGTTACACACAGATGTCTAAAACGATTTCCTCAGTAGCAATTCAAAGCCCACAATTATGAAACACATTTTGTGCTATTTTTCATTTCTTGCCAGCTTTTTGATTTTATCGAAGCTTTTGTTATTCACTTGAATCTCAACATGTCAAAGTTAATTTCCCAATTAACACACTGACAGCAAAAGTCCCAGTTCACACATCAAGCTCTGTATTTTTAGAGCACAATACAGAATAAAATCATAATGGTTACTTCTCATGATTTTAAAGTACATGCCACAAGGACAGCTGGGGTGTTTTTATGTAAGTAATTCATTATTCTCCAAGGGCTTTGGGGAAAAAGGTTGGATTTTCATTTGTAAAAGGCTGTAGAAAGATATTTACTGAGCAGTTTATTTTACCATGATCACAGCTAAGTACATGTGTCCCGTTTTTAATTGAACTGTAAATTATATCAATTCTGGAGAGCAAAAGAGAATTTACAACTGCACAGAACTCCTGCTTTCTAGTTGGAGCTAATGGCCGTCATTTATGAAACTTGCGCAGAAAAGGCTTTATATTATTGATCTAGATTCCAACTACGTAAAATCCAACATCGGATTTATGAACGTGTGAGATACGCACAGATCTGAGCGTACACGCCTGCGGGTGTTGATAAATGCCACGCTCAAAACCAGCGTATTTATGAAAGTTACGCCAAAAAATATTGAGAAACCGCTTGTTTCACGCCCCGTTTTTACGACAGGTCAGCATGGAAGCCAGACGAGCTCTTTCCCGACTGGTAAAATGATTCTCCAAAAAATGTGTTCTATATTTTTTGTGTCTTTTTTTTTATATTTTGGGAAAAGGTCCCTAAATCCTCAAAGTAGTCATGTAATCATGTGTTTTCAAATAGTAATGGAATTGACCAGATGTCTATAGTCGTCTACAAAAAGTGATATTTTTGGAGTATATTTTGGAGCGGACCAATAAAAATAAACCAATGGGATTCGTTCATCCCCAACAAACCAACGGGATGTTGTTTACCGCCTTCACCCTCTTCCTGTTTCTCACGAGTGCACCTAAGTTATTTCATGTTTGCTGCCCACTCTCCCTGTTGTGACAAAGAAAGGAAAATGCTGGATGTTTGGTTTGGTGGAGAGGCGAGGGGAGTGGGGAGGGGTTTCTGGTCGGTGCTACGGCTAAGCTAACAACATCGCTAACTACACCTTTAACTGTTGATTCTCTGATCTTTCGGTTCTGTTAAATCCTCTGAGATAACAACTGTTGTGATTTAGGGCTATACAAGAATAAAGTGAATTGAATTGAATGAGTTCCCAAAATCCATGTCTAGATATTCAAAATAGTATAAAAAGGCTATGAATCAGATTACTTTGTTTTTTATATAGCTAATTATTTGTCATTTCTAATTCATGTGAGGAACTAGTTGAAAAGGGGAGAACCTTAGTTTACATTTTAGTCATGGGTCTGATGATAAAAGTAGTGCACACATCGGATATTGACATTGCCATTAAGCCGTTAGGAAACTATCCGGCACATGCCCTTCAATTGTTGTCCTCCCATGACACACCATGTATACACACATTACAATCCGACTACTATCGACTTGCGGCCTCTCTGTGACGCTCACACAGTCTCAAACCGAGCTGTTGATGCCATACAAGGACAAGCTTTTAAGGTCATGTCATGTTTCTGCACCAAAATGCCGAGCCACTATGTAAATTCAACTTCAAACAGAAAGTTATGCAAATATTCCTCTAATAAAGACTCCAGAGACTTTGGATATAGCCCGGTCTACTGTATTGATTCGCAACAACACACTTCTTAATGGTGCCATATGAATGCGGTTTCCTTGCGCCGCTCGTAAAACTTGCCTTTTAAATGTCATTGCTGATTGCCTTGGCACACACTTTTCTGCACCTGGAATTAAAAAGAGCAAACATTTTGTAATGCGTAAACAGCAGATTTGAAACATTTTGTTCAGCATCTCTTGATGAGTATTTTGCATTCACCTGGATAACAAAATGGTTGCACAGCGTATTGGGAGAGAAATAATTAACATTCTTTTTAATCTGAGAAGTAAATGGGATTTGCAGAGGAGGCAAAATATGTTCAGATATCTTGTTTTCTTTTTGGAGGGATGTAGAAGCGTTTAATATCCAATTAGTATGTCTTTGATAAAGGCATCGCAAGCAGGTGTCTATATGTTTTTGTACCCTTGCTTATCTTGCTTGATTTCCATAATTTAATGAGGAAATATTAATCTTATTTTTTGGTCATGTAAACATTCTGGGTTAAGCCACAGTGACATGAAATAGATACATAAACATATATACAGGATCATTAGTTACAAACGTGCTCTTTCGTTCACGAAGCTTTGAAGTGAAGTTACTGATTTGAACGCCCAATTCCCAGGTACAACTTTTTAAACACTGAAATATAGGTTTTATCTCCTGAAATCTGTCTCATCCCATCTCCATAGACTATTTTCCTCTACACACTTCATCCTGCATGTTTCTGTTGTAAATACCCATTGTAACTTACCAAAATACACTGCAAAAAATGTCTGTTATTGAGTGTTTTGAGTACATTCTGACTGTCTTAAAACAAGATTTGCCAATAGAGCAAAGCCTTTCAATCATATTTCAAGAACTTTTGCTTTTTTGTCTCATTCCAAGGGAGACATTTCTTGTAATTTTTTAAAACAAGATAATTTTGGCAAGTCAAATCATGCTCAAATTAAAATAAATTATGCATTTTTTGTATTATTAACCAATCATGTATCTGTAATTCATGAGCCAATCCACATGAAACAAAATCTAAATTTCTCAGCTTTTTTGTGAGAACAGGAGATATGTTTTCTTACACAGGTGTCTGGAAGTGGGATATAAATATGGAATATAGATATGATATATTAATATGGCGGGTTTGTGAATATTTATCTGTACATTGTCTTGTTAAATATTTCTCTCCAAAACGACTTCTTCCCCACAGAGTTGAACTGGCACATGTGGTCAAGCTGAACTAAAGCTCTACATAATGAATGCATCCTATTAAGGCAATATTAATCATTCAAAAATATAGAGTAAATCTAAGAAGAAAGATGTCCCTTCTTACAAAAAAAACACTGGTTCCACATGCAGAGACGCCTCCTTGAGTATAATTTGCCTTGCATGACTTTCTCCATTTTTACCCGCGAAACCCATCTTTAATTACAGATCGCTCTTGTGTCTCTTGTATTTTTTTCCTCCTTGTATCTAGACTTTTTTATAGACGAAGCAAAAGGCCGCTCAATATTCCATTAGGGCTGCTTCATTCACACATTCTTTTTGGTGTTTTTCTTGAACTTTTCTCCGGCTCTCTTCTCCCAGCTTTAAAGCCTCTCTGCTCATAGCTTTGACTGATGAACGCGGCCAATTTGCGGCACACTCGGCCCAGCCTCGGGTCGCTGTAGCATGGAAACTTGTCACTTATTAATGGACTATTAAAAGCACAGTTTCACCATGGGACCTTTCTTCTCCCAGAGACGGAACACTGGGGACGTGCTTCTGAGATTTGTTAAATGCCGTTGAACCATGTTTTACAGATCCTAACTTCACTGGCTCCGTTTGTGAGTGTTGCCTAAATTGCCTCCACTGGAAAGTCGGATCTAAATGATAACTAGCTACAAAAACTACTACTGTATACTTTGGGATTAGTGTAGTATATCAATATCACTGCAAACTAATGAAGTACAGTATATTTCAATCAGGAGTTGGTTGTGGAATCAAATCTAGACTTCTTCACGCCTTATGGTTTGGGTGAGTGGTCTCTCAGCTCTTAAAGGTTCCATATTTTGCTTTTCTTCATGATTCACAGTCCATCCTATGCTTATTTGTGATAATAATGTGAGTGAAACACCACACAGAACTCAAAACTTGTGAGATTATAGCCATTTCTTGCATAGAGGTGATGTCACCTCAACTCAAACAAGCTGATCCAGAGAGGAGTCTGCTCCTCTGCCTGTAAGCCCCGCCCTCACCTGCCTATCCCCGCCCTCGCCTGCCTCCCCCCGCCCTCACCTGCCTCCCCCCGCCCTCACCTGCCTATCCCCGCCCTCGCCTGCCTCCCCCCGCCCTCACCTGCCTATCCCCGCCCTCACCTGCCTCCACCCGCCCTTACCTGCCTATCCCCGCCCTCACCTGCCATGTTTGATTTCTCTTTATCTTTAAGCTCAGTCTGCCGCTACACACACTACTACAGCCCCAAGTACTGCCGCTACACACACTACTACAGCCCCAAGTACTGCCACGCCAAGGTTTACTGCCCCCTCAAGCTCTACAGCCCTGGACAGCAGCGCTTCCTCCAGTGAGCAGCAGTCAGCTATATCCCATACTGCAATTGTCAATTTCCATTGCCAATATCTAAGTTGGTTTGTATTTTGAAGATGTGTAAATTAAAAATACATAAATAGTAATGTAAATATGGACATACTTAGCAAGCCATCTTTAGCAACAATTGTAATTGTAAAGGCTGTAAAAAGACACTAAACATAGTGTTTGTTCAAGTAATGATATCACATCAGGATTATTTATGGTTATTGTGTTTTTCTTTTGAGAATTCATGTGTTTTTTTAATTGGTTTCAGATCAAACGGCATCCACAGACCAAGAAAAAGTAAATACCAATAAGATTGACATCTTCTGATCCTGGACAGTGGCCTGATGTTCTTAATGATGGTGAAAAGAGTTCCCTGGTGAAAAAAGGTCCTCTTCAGGTGACGGATATTGTTTTTCCTCAAAGCAATGAACAAAATCCTCGGAGATTCACAAAGAAAAATTATTACATGGTCATGAGAAATGGTGAAAAAATAAAGCGAACATGGCTAGTATATTCAAAATCGACCGATTCAGTGTTTTGCTTTGCTTGCAAAATATTTGGCAAAAAGGACAATAATGCTCTAACTAAAGGAGGGTTTAAAAACTGGAAAAACCTTGTTGCACATTTAAAAGAGCATGAATATTCCAAACCCCATATAAATAACATGAAAAGTTGGCATGAGCTCCAGATAAGGTTAAAAACAAAATCTGCTCTAGATCAAATAAACCAGGATCTATTGCACCTTGAGGAGCAGCACTGGAAAACAGTAATCCACAGGATTATTGCTATAATATGCAAGTTCTACAAAGAAGTATTGTCACAGAGTTGAGAACCTATAAGCTTTATTGTTTAGTTGTTAATTATGTTTTCATAATATTGTTGTTCTGCTGATCTTTGTTGTTGTTAGTATTTTGTCAATTCTGTTTCAACTTTATGATGCAAATAAATAATATATTTATATCTACTGCAGTATTAACCTTTTTATGTGGTTATATGGTCGGTATCGGGGCCCCCAAGGACTCTTTTGCCTGGGGCTCCGGGGTACCCTTGGAACGCCACTGTGCCTCCCCCCGCCCTCACCTGCCTCCCCCGCCTGCGCAGTGCATGATGTAGCCTCACGCTGAGACGTTTATCTCTGAAGCAAACTCTTCAGATTTGTTGTTCAGTCATTTTAGACCTGAGAATTTTTCCAACAGTGACAATCGGACACATCGCGCCCTATGTCCTCGATCCAGAATCAGACCCTAATTATTTAGTTTACAGTGATAAAGTATGAGTTAGTAGCACTGTACTCACAGATCAGGGCTTTGTGTTACTGTCTTTTATCGTGGGAATAACATGAGTTTCCAGATCAGTTTTTGAGTATATCCAGTTTCATGGTGTCCGTATTCTGGAACAGTCTTAGTGAAGTGTCGCAGATGAATAGATTTGTCGCAGATTTTAGAGGCAGATCCCTGGTACAAGAGGTGCATTGCAAAAACATATATTGTTGTCTCACCCACGAATAGCCAACCACTGACTTATGGTCTGGTGTGATGTAGCTTAGAAAACACGTAGAAAACAATGCGTTTTTTCATTGTTGTTTTTCCTCTGGCCTCAAATGACGTTGATAAATGGCGTTATGTCCACCATGTATCTTTGGTTTCCTTCAATGTTAAAATATTTTCACGGCTTCTCTTTCTCATGATATGGAACCAGAGACTGTTGGCACACACACTCCAGGAGCCTTGACTCTCTAATAAGCTCTGATGATGTTATTGAGCTACAGACTGCCACCGAGTGTCCATCATCCTAAATACAGCCTTATACAAACTTAATGAACTGGCCTTTACAAATGTTATTGTTTGACTTTGCCTCTTCTCTTGAGTGTTGTGACTCTATCCAGCTCTATTTTGCCAAGCGAGTAAACTGTCATATTATCACATTTCCTCCAATCAATATCAGCAACTTGATTTTAGAATAAATCTAATCCTCAAATAGGATTTTTTTCCTTACGAAGATTTGTTCTCAGTGTGTTTTGTACCTTTTTGAGGAAAAACAGACTGCTTTATATTTACATCAAAGGCACTGTGACCATCAGCCACTCTTTTCTGAGAGTAAAGTAATGGCTCTAATAACTATTCATCATCAAAGGAAGGATTCTGAAAACACAGCTTTTACACCAAAGTAATAGTATTACACAAAAAAGTATTTCCAAATATGCAATTGTTGCTTAAAGTTTGCCACCAAAACTGCTAAGTCTGGTTTTGTCGTGATCGAACACTGATGTTTTGGTAATATATTTTCCTACACATTTTTAAATATCTCATAACTTTGAATTTGGAGTTCTATTGACCACTGCAACCTCTCAGTAAGAAGAAATAAATACTGTAAATTTGTGGTGGGTGGCGAAGACAGATGATGTTTGACATATCTCAACTGGTTGTGGCCATATATACATAAAAAAGCCAGATGCTGTCAGTGCTCTAAAGCTATGCAGGGCAGGTCTGTGATGGGAGACCTCTGAGAACACCAGGGGCTGCAGTGAGGCGGCTGTGGCTGTAAAGTGCCAAACTATTGTCATGTCCTTAGGCACGACACTTCACCCACGTTGCCCAGAATGAGTCTGGTGTGTGTGTGAATGGTTGGTGGTGGTCGTATACTGGTTGCCTCACTTCTGTCAGTGTGCCCCAGGACTACTAGGGCATGTATGGAGTGAAATGAGGATGACTTGTGAACCGACTTTGAGAGTCCTGGAAAGCCCGATATAAAATGTATGCTTTGTTATTATCATTATTATTGAGATTTGGCACACATTGTATAGTAAAGCACAACTTTAACACAACCATGAGACTTTTTCCAATGTCTCCCCATCTGTCTCAAACCACTACATAGACTCAACATGCTGAGAAGATGTTTTATGAATCAAATCATTCTATAGCTACTACAAAATCAAATGCAAATTTGTTTACAAAGTATTTTTAAATGAAACCTTGCAGTGTGTAACCGGCCATCTCTATGAAGGTGTTCTCCAGGGATTTGTTTTGATGTAAACAAATATTCATTGACCTTTTGAGATCCAAGCAACTAATCAATTAGTTTGCAGATTCTATCCATTAATTACAGTATGCCTGTGCACTCGTACACGTTTTGTCTCACTCAGACTGATCTGCTGACACTCCTTTCTGTGCTGTTCTGTTTCCCTGTGAAAATAACTTGTCTGATAAACTGTGCAGGTTTTCCCTTCCCTCTCTTCTATAGGCTCTATGCACGCACCACTTCCGCGTTTTAGCTACAACCCCACCTCACTTCCTGTTCGCGGGAACGGCTTGAGTTTCACTGGAGTTCAGCAGTGGTTTACACGAGTTTCCCAAATAATTATTAAACTGTGAGGGTACTGGGCATTTTTGGAACACAACAGTGCTCTTTGATTGTGCTGTCATTGTGTTTTTATAAAGTTTACAAATCTCTCTGAATGGCCACAGTTAAAGCTCTACCTCAGAGAGAAAGCACAGCGACACTTTTGGGTCAGTCTCAGCTGAATGTATCAATCTAATTACTAAAAAACGTCACTAAAACCCACCTAAAAGCCATAGGATAGCATAGACAGGAAGTGAACGGGCTGTACTTTGTTAACTAGTGGAGCTGTTTATACATTTCCTGTTATCTTCACCTATCCTTGGCCTTCTCTGTCTTTCGCTGAATACCTGCAAATGTTCTCTTGTTTAACAGTTTATTGAGGTTTTGTTTTGGATTTTCTGCTTTGCATATAAACTTCAGTTCCCATGGGACCGATGCAAGAAGTTGCCGGTTTAAATCCTTTTCTCTCAAAGATGAAAGTTGCATTGAAACCACTAAAGCTGTGTTCCCACAGGATCATGCTTTGCGGCGAGTTTCAATGCAAAGTCAATGGTGCCGTCCTCCCATGTGAGGGATGGCATGTACGTCGCGGCACGCACGTTTGTCCGGCGCAGCACGCGTCTTGTAGCTGCGCGGCAACAAATCAGAGAGCAGCAAAGTGATCACAATCCAAAACAGACACTTGAAAACAACTAAAAAATGAGCTACACAGTCAGAGATACCACCCAATTCACGGAGCACCAGCCCCTCACTGATCCTGACGGTGACGACACAGCCAATCTTTCTGCAGGGGCTTCTGTTAAAGTGGGGTTAAGTGTCTTGCCCAAGGACACAACAGCAGCAGACATCAGTGGTCGCTGGAGCCACAGTCACTCCCACTCGTCAACATGTGTAATGGTAATGGTTTATGGGCATAGCCATAATTTGGGTGGAAAGAATCTCTACTCTAAATATTTGGGTCTATAATGCGATTTTTATTACGTTGTACTAGTTGACTAATAACTGAAGATTAATTTAAATGTTGTAGTTTAGCTGACACTGTTCAGAGCAATGCAGACTGTTTCTAAGATTCATTTTGCAAAACATTTGATTTATTATTTACTTTTATAACTATTTTGTTCCATGAGCCAAAGCAAAATCCTTGTGATGTCCTGTTACTTACAACAGCCATACAAATAATTCTGATTCTTATTCTAAAAATGAGATAACAATATTAATCTTGATTACAACAGATTTAGTTTAGCTTGACTTTCATTCTAAAGTTCAACCATCGAAGCTGGCCCTCTGCTGGACAAACACTGGTGAAGCAGCAACATAAAAACAGTGTGTTTCAGAAATAAATCTGTTGACTGTAAGCTTCATGTGGCAAAAACACTGAAAATAAATTGTACTTTTAATAGGATTCCACAGAAATAATCCCTTTTTGCATAGAGACACTTAAGTAGCTCGCCATCTTATCGCTGTGTCTCATAATTAATCCTGATTAAACCTGATAGCTAAATATGGCTTGTTTATCTGTGGGATGGAAAATGAAGTGTGCAATCGCAAGGTACTTTCCACTTTATCTAGAGTTGTTTACCCAACTCGGTTACAGATTGCGGACAGGGTTAAGCTTGTGAATTCGCATTAGCGTAGACGTGTGTGGAGGCAAAGC